TTAAAGAATAAACTAGTGTCATTTACAAGATGAAATGAACTACCTGAGTCAACAACCCGTTTAAAACTATTTTTATTCTTCTGTTCGGTGTCAGGGCTAAAGGACATAATACTTTCAAATTTGTTACCTTCAGTATTTTCAGTGCCTGTAAGAAATGGCTTTCCTCTACCTCTCCCCTGGGTCTGATGACGAGTTGCCTTACTGTCGTCTCGGCCTCCGTTGTATTTCCAGTCGCTACGTCCACGGCCGTGAAGTCTCCAGTCGCCAGTCCTGTGTCGTGCCTGCTGAGTGCTCCTACACTGGGATTTTTTGTGTCCGGGGCGTCCACATCCATAACACAAGAAGATTGAAGAGTCAAGGGATTTGGTCGCTCCTCTGTTCCGTTTTTCCTCTTCCCCAAGCAGTCTGTTTTTCACGAAGTCCATTTTCAATTCCTCCACAGTTTCCAAAGCCGTGATAATGTCTTTGTAAGATTTTGGCATGGATAGGAGTAAATAGTTAACCTTTTCTTCCTCCGAGAGCTCACTGCCAGCATCCCTAAGTTGTGCAAATAGCTTTTCCATGTCAATAAAATGTTCCATTAAACGTTTCCGTTCGTCGAATTTCATATCGGACAACTCTCTTCTTATAAATAATTTAGATCGTGTACCTTTCTTCTTAAAGCTGTCTTCCATGCTTTTAATCATTTGATAAGCAGATCTGTCCTTTAAGTATTCGAGGTGACTGTCGGCGGTTGCCGCTATTATGATAGCCTGGGCCTTAGCTTCCAATTGCAATTGCTTGTTATCCGTAGATTTACTGAAATCCTGCTTTTCGATCGCCTCTATTGCTCCATTATCCCGCAGGATACTTTTTAATCGAAATTCCCACGCGTAGTAATTGTCCCCCGCGAAAGGGACACTTTGATATTTTTCTTTTGACATTTTCTGTCCTTTAACACTTATTATTCCACTATAAAACTGATGGCCGTACTGGGCCCATAACCCTGTTAAGGATTATGGGGATAATTAAAGATATAATACTTTGAACATAAAACGGCCTAAACGTCATATTGAATCTTCCTTCATAACCACAGACACAGTGTTGACAACCGACGCAGTGTTGCCATTAAAATACTATATTATATAAATCATTGTTAATTAACACAACAGACTCAACCTCTACCTGAAATCCCCATATCAAAGCATTTTATTTGAGGCAAGTATGGTTTTATAATGAAGGTATCCATATCATTAATAGAGATGGGCATAGGTCTTATTTTGGCACTGGAAAGAAGACTGGTGGAAAGGTCTCAGTCTGAGATCTATAAACCGTACTTTGACTTTGCTCAGACTTCGCTTACGAAAGTCTTAGCTGAGTATATGCTTATCATAATCTTTGATTCCGAATTTATAGTTGTATCGGGCTGAGATTAAGCTAAGCATATGCCAAGGCTCAGACTGTCAAGAAGTTTATGGATGCTTTATGTTATTGATTTTACTGTACAAAGTAAAATAAAATATATATTTAAAGGTCAAAAACAGTCCAAATTGTACTTCATAAATATGTTACTAATACATGAAATAGAAAAAGAGCGTGCTTAAAGAGAGATACAAATACATTTAACTAATTTTAGTTTGAAAATATGAAAAAGAAGCGGAACGTTTGATTTGCTGTCACACGCGCTGTCAAATCACAATTTCAAAGGTGAAGCTTTTGGTTTTTAATGATATTGATTTTATTGTGTGCATTTTAAGTTTTATATATATTTGAAATTCCTGATCATTTTGTTGCGACTGGCTTTTGAACTTAGACTCCCGATCCTACCTACCTATTCCACCTACGCTTCAGTAATTTGGACTCGACATTCGAATCGAGAATCTTTTCGATTTTCTTTAAACCAAGCTTGTAATTATAATGGACAATATTGAGAGAATTCTATCTACTTTAGAAAATATAGATAGATTGAGAACTTCAGCAGATATCAATTTTCGGCGCATGCCTAAATACTATGTTCGGAATGAATATAACCAAAACCCATTTGATTTGTATGACGAAGATGAATTTAGAAGAAGATACCGATTCAATAAACACACTGTTTTAAATGTAATTTGTAGTATAATTACCTTTAATAATTGCCAATTTGGAGCATTTGGACAATAGAGGCTTGCCGATTTCTCCAAAACTGCAATTACTTATTGCATTAAGGTTTTATGCTACAGGATGTTTCCAGATAATTATTGTTTCATAGAGTAAAATGAATTTTTTATTCAAATAGGCTTTTATTAGTCAGAATCTACTACATGTTATATACATAGAAAATATATTTTATACACAATACCTACATTCTTTGATATTTCAGATGGTGTGTGGTGATTTGAACGGCATAAGCCAATCCACAGTATGTCTTATAATAAATAAGGTATCAAGACAATTGAGCCATTTATTACCAAGATATATACATTTTGCCACCAATATGAGTGTGGTAAAAAGAAAATTCGAAGAACTCGGAAGATCCAACACTCAGCACGGATTCAACAACATTATTGGTGCTATTGACTGCACACATATTAAAATAAATAGACCCAGAGGTATCTCCCATTCTGAAATATACCGAAACCGTAAAGAATATTTCTCTATTAATGTACAAGCTATTATAGGCCCAAGCATGGAAAATTTTGATATAACCCGCTGGCCTGTCAGTTCACATGACAGTAGAATATTTAGAAACTCTTAAGCTTATGCTAGATTCTTAAGGGGGAATTTGCAAGGAGATTTAGTAGGCGACAGTGGTTATCCATCTCTTCCTTTCCTTTTAACACCTCTTATAACTCCAGTAACAAGAGCAGAAAACCAATACAATTATGTTCAAATAAGAACCCGTAATATAGTTGAGAGGTTTTTTGGAGTATGGAAAAAGAAATTTCCATGCTTACAGTTGGGCCTACGCTCTAAGCTCACTAATACGAGCAACATAATTGTAGCTTGTGCAGTATTGCACAACATAGGCATACAGTGTGGGGATGCTTATGATGATGGTAACAATGATCATACACCAGAAGTTGCAGAAAGACCAAACAATGAAACATCATCCACTGCAGGTCTAGCATTTCGGCAGTCTATAATAGCACAATTTAACTAAATAATTAGGAAATAAACTTAAGTAAAACACAACATATTTTATTCATTTATTGCTTTATTTTTTAAAATGTTCTTGTTTTCTTTTTTTATTTCTAAAGTTTCTAATTCTAAAGCACATTTTTTTTCTAAAAATTCAGTTTCCTTTAAATATTTTTCTTCATTCCGCCTCCTTTCATCCTCATATCTCTCCTTATTATATTTTAATTCTTGTAATATTAGTTCCTGTTTCAGTTCATCAAAAGTGTTCTTCTGTTTTGCTTGGTTTTTTTTTTTGGGTCACTGTACTGAGCTGACCGGATGGTGCTGGGCTCACCAGTGGTAATGGGCATAGGGTTTTCTTTTTGTATATCTTCTATGAATTCAATCTCTATATTATAATTCTGCTCCACATCAGATACACGAGCTCTCTTTGGGAGCCACATTTGCTCGTCGTTATCTAATCCAAGAGTACTATCTAGAAATAGAAATATAATCTAATAAGTGAAATTACAAGTACAAATTATGTCATCTTACTGATTAAATAAATACTATTCATTATTGAGCTCTTAATTGTATATTTATAATCGTTTTTTAAGCTCCATGTATCATACATTGTTTTATATTACAAGTGAGTTAAATCCACTATTTTAGTTGAAAAATTGTAGAATACTAAATGATTATACTGACAAAAATCTTGTTAGAACAAGCAAGGCAGTAGTGATTTCTCTGTCTTATTCTTTCTCTATATGTAAAAACTAATCAAGAATATATAGTAGCATCCATTCTAACTCCATCTATATCATCTACCAGTCAATGTTCATTTGCTCAAATTCGATAAAACATTATTTGAAATCAATCAAAAATGTTCAACAATCAACAAACAAAAATTTTAAATCTAAAATATCAATATCATGTCGGAATGAAGATTTGTTAGTAAATACAGAGAATTATAAAGTTTCAATATAAGAATTACAATATCAATCCAAATATTTAATTTAACAGGGCCAAAGGTGCAACAAGACTCAAATTACAGAAGTTTTGTATGATGCAGATGTTGGCTTATATGTAAATCATTTATCAAACCTGTATTCACAATGATCTTAATGATTTAATGTTTTGTTTGTTATTTAAAGTATTCTAATAAGATGTTACTAATTAAAGTTCTATTGTTCTGTATTTCGTTTATGTATTATTATTAAGTTTAAGTAAATGTTTAATTTTTTTTATTATAAAATAATATAAATTTTATGTGTGACTTAAATAAAACAAACATATAATAATCGGCTAGTTAAGTCCTGCATGAGTATGACTTAATGTAGTTTTAAGTCACTATGTACTATAATAATATTAAAGATGTTAAATCATTCAAATCAATAGTGCTAAATGCTAAATAAAAATTATTTATATGACTTATGAGTTAATTATTTAATAAAAATACATATTTGATGCAATTATGTATTATAAAATCCAATCCATTTGTTAGTTTTATTTACAAAAACTGGGAAAACTATACAGTAGGTATGTGTGGCAGATAAAACAATAGGCATATTCTTTTAAAAGTTAAAAGTGATTTACTAGTTTTTAATTTATATATAAAACCTAAATACCAGTTGAAGTGTCTATTAGGTGTCAGTTAGTCATGGAATATCTTCAAAATGCCTGAACCAATTTTGGCCGTAGAGGATTTTGCAATGAGTGGATCTTGGTAATTTTTTTTATTTTATTATTTTAATTTAAACAGTGTTAATAATGGCAGTTAATTCAAGTTAAACAGTGTACCTACAGGATTTCTAATAAACCTAAATTGGCACTAACGTCACATGCAAAAGCTAATTAGATTTATAGTAATTTTAAATTAAATGATATAATATGATAACACATTTTTATCATGATTAATTTACCATTAGCTAATGTGTCACTGTCAATTTCTACACTGATGGATGGCAAAACATTTGGCATGACAGCTATAATTTGAGACTCCAAAGGTCTCATATCTGGTGGAGTTGGTCCTCAGCCTGTCCTCTTCCTTTGGGCCTCCAGAGTCTTGGCATCCCTGGCTTTGGTTTTTAAATTTTGCCACATCTTTTTTATTTGTTTAGTATCAGCCTGAAAATGAATAGTAGACAAGTATTATAAATGGTGTCAAATGTCAATGTTACATGTGGCACAACTCTAAGCTATTATAGGTAAGTATTTAATGTATCTGCAGGAAGAATTTATAATTAAACTTATTTGTGTGCCTCTGTACGTTCGTATAGCATCAGTATGAGACTCGAACTAACACGAAAATTACGCCAAATAATTAAAACTACTTGTATGAAAATAACTAAAAACATTATTAAATTATTTAGGTACTTTTACTTACAATTTGTGACGTTTGAATTGTTGAACTGCGAGGTAATTTCCTCCCAAGCTTTACTTTTTTTCTAAGGGAAATACCGTCCGTCTTTATGTTCTCTATAATATTGATTTTGGCTTGAACCAGTTGTATCAGCAATTGTTTGTCGTACTCCGAGTAAGGCTTTTGTTTTCTTTTTGCGCTTTCCATTTTAGTGCTTCGGAGTCCGGAAAAGATTAATCGTGAGTCAGTCGTTTAGCAGGTACAAAATCCGTTAAACAGGTAGCCGTGGTCAGTCGTAAAAGAAGGTACAAAGTCAGTTAAACAAGCCGGGTTGAAAATAGGAATAGGGAAGTATCGTTCTATTTTTTAAAAAGGTAATCAATTCGAAACAGCAACTGGCGTAGAATAGAATAAACATGGAATAAACCAAGTTTTTAGGTGATTGGTGATTGGTGGTGAATTTCTTTAGTGTTGCTTTATATTGCTTTATATTATTAATATATATAAAAAAATATGTCATCAATTGTTTTTGGTTTTTACAGAAATGATAACAGCATTAATGTTAAATTTTTACGTGAAAGTTTTACGATTTCCTTAATTGCATGAAGTTCTCTCCAACCTGGCATCATTGCAGTTGAGAGAATACGACAAAGTTAAAGAGTGTTCAGTTGTACGTAATGTAAAATAATTTTGGACCATTACTTTCGTTAGGGTAATATCCTGAGTTTTTCTTAAGTCGTCAATTTTGTTGACATAGGCTTTGCTTAGCGCGCACTCAGCACGACTTCGAAATTAATTCACACTGCAGCAGTAAGAATCTGCGCCCAAAAGAACATCTATTTTGTTGGGTGTTTTGAATTTAGGATCTGCTAGATACAGACCGTTGAAATCAATCCAATCCATTGAACTGGTATACACAGCTCTCTGGTAAGTACGATGTAATCTTACTCAAAACGTAAACATTAATTTGAAGTTAAAAATCAAATTCAACCGTGGAGTTAATAATCAGATTTACTATATAATTAGTAATGGTTGACTTGCCTCCTAAACCTGAAACATGACCTCGGAATGGAAATTTCTTAAGCCTAAGAAATTGGACAGTGGCCTTTGTTATAAAACAAGCCTGTCATCCTCGGCTCGATCTGTTTGAAATTTACCCAACTTGGACTCAGCTTTTATTTACGCAGTGGCTAATAAAACCCGTTTGGGTTTTAAAACTTTTCCCGTAGATAAGCATGCAACTATTTGATTATCACTTGTTGGAGAACTAGTGTTATCGATAGCGGACTTTGCTGCAGAATCGTCGTTTACTGTAGAAGTCCTTTTTTTGACTACACTAAGAAGATTTTTCATCGGCATAATCTTCAAATCTCTGCGTTTTAATTTTCGTTAAAGAATTTTAACTTCCGTTTTTATTTGACTATTTTCTTTACCTCTTGATGTTTGTACATAACTGTGCGCGACACATCCCTTTTTATTTGATTAGGGAATATTGAGAGAAGGGCTTAGATCACGTTTCCTTGACGTGATTTCCTGAGAAGATGTATTTGCCACTGACTGGTAACACATATCAATTTTCATTGATGTAGCTGGAACATCTTGGTGAGCCATGAAATTTGGTGGTTTTATTTGAATATTACTCATTAACTTCACAGTTTCCATGGTCATCTAAAAGAATATGAATTGTTAAATTACACTTCGAAAATTAAATTAATATAATTTAATGAAATAGTAATATCATAATTTAATAGAAACATAAGTAATTAAATAAGACTCGAAGTTGTTGATTATTTATTTATGTTGATAGCGCAGTTATGGAATAAAGAATTAATTGATTGATGATACAAGAAAACTAGAAAAAAAAATGATCATAATTTTAGCTCGGGTTAAATGTTGTACATTAAATTTCAAACGTTGTTCTTCCATTTTTTTATTAATCTATGCCACATTGTTGCTTGAACTGTAATAATATCTATAATGCCGCAGGTAATTGAAATCAGTACTAGATTACATTTTAATTAGGCCAAGGAACTTCTCACACATCTTATACTACTCACTAAAAACCGAAATAAAACTATTCTTTTATTAAGTTAATTAACATTACTTTTTGGTTCGTAGCAGTTGGCACTCTGGTCTCTGCCTACCGCCATGGGAAAAAGGCGTTAGTTTATGTATGTATGTAACACTTTTTCTTCAATTAAGTATTATTCATATTCGAAGTTATTGTTCTTATTCTTATTCTTGGTCACATTACCAACAAAACATTCTATTTAATTTTCTTTGAAATATACGAAACGGTAGCAAAATATATATATCTGAAAATAACAGGAGAGATCCATAATCAAAATAAAAAATAACAGATGCTGTATTCACGAAATTAAGACTTAAAAACTATATTAAAACTACGAAAATGTGAACATATCATAATGGAATCTATAAATTTTGCTTACCTATGGAATGACAAACCACATCCAGGGTAACTTTCACTTCTACAAACTTTCACACAACACGAAAATACCATTTTCACTAGAAAACCCGAAAAGTTCTGCAATATTAATAAAATCAATTAAATCACTTTCGCTGATGACAAGTCAAACAGAGAATATAGCGCTATTGGCGCGCCATATTTATTCATTTGACGTCAAATTTTAAAATAGTGTGTCATCCATAGCATAAAATGCACCCAATCGTTTTTAGTGAAAGTAGACTTGTGTTTTAGTAGTTTTTTTTTTCATGTAACTTAATAATGTGTTTAATTGGAATATAATATAGAATTTACCAATCCTCCTTGGTTTGGACCGTACAGCAAATTAGAACATGTACATTTGTTTTTTTTTTTTTAAATATAAATCGGCTGTTGGAAAAGGAATAATTTTAATTCAACCAAGCATAATTTAGTACCCTTGCCATTTAATTACTAATTTTTTATTATTATTTTATTATGAAGAAGGAGAATGAGTAGAAATAAAATGCAGTGTATATTATTTATAATATGATTTATTTTTTAAAAAAAAATTATACTTAATCAACGCTTTTTGACATTTGTGGCAGTGTACGCTTTTCGATTCTAATTATGTCCGTGACCTTCAGAATCTTATTAATTATGTTGCACCAGTTGAAAATGCTCAGTTTAATAGAAAGCATTAGAAAATATTCAAGTATAATGTGTTTATGGCTTTTATAATTAATGAATTCAAATAGATACTTGGTTTTTATACGTTTTTTGATTTTTTGGCTTACATTTTCGTTGTGTGCACAATGTTCCAAGTATCTATTTGTTTCTTTTATTATTGAACTAAATGCCTCACAGTATATTCCGAGGGATATATCAGCTTTCTTTGCTTAATTATTTTATATTCTCTTTGGGAGATCCATTTACGTACATTACCATCTATTTTAGTACATAAACTGGCCTCACATTCTTGGCAATTTATTTTGCCAAGTATTTTTTTATAATCCATCCAGTGGTATATGCTGTTGAGTGAACATATAATCGCTCCCTTGCTGCCTGAACTTGAATATTTTCAGTAGAAAGGTTCTCTTCAATACATCCAATATCCTGTATGATATTGGATGTATTACAGTTTATCTCTTCAGATCGCTTTCTAAATAAAGACTGCACTTTTATCAACTGATAGCAAGTATCATCTTCGCAATCATAGGTTTCTGAATGAAATTTAATAAGGCCTGTTATGAATAAAGATTTGAAAGGACTGATGAAAATGTGGCAAGTTCAGTGTGTTCAGTGTGACAGATCATTGTTACGAAAATTATACGACGTCACTCGTCCAAAAAAGTTTTCAATGGGGATCTGAATTGAAATACCGTGGTCGCATGATTTCTAAATTTTTTTGTGTAACACTTGCTACACCCTTTCGTAACTTTTAATTGTTAACTTGTAATTGTCAGCCAATTTTTTAGTGTAGGCACCGACTTTTTATTGCCCTTGTTAATAAATTTAATTTTTTCAATTTTTTTTTTCTTTGCATCCTTCCAAAAGTTGTGATGCTATAAGTTGTCAGTAACCGCTTAAAGGGTCCTTAAAGGTTTTCCACCATATTTCTTGTGATCAAGAGAAGAGCTATTTACACTATCGAAAATCATCTAGAAATGATACAGTCTCCGAAATATTTTTTAAAGTTTTGCTAACTGGTCTGCCATCAGTGTTGTGAGCAGGAAGTAAGCAAGTAGGAAGAAAGAATATTTCACTGGTGGTAATCTCTATACAAATGTTCCTAGCCTTACGTCTATGGCCCTCAAAAATCGATTTTGACAGCTATTGACTACAGATGTATAAATATGTATAGCTACGGATTTAGATTGACGTTTGTTTTTACGTTTCTGTCCACACTCCACCACGTGACGAGGTAAGCGCCGTGGCCATTACACGACGACATAAAGATTAAATATGTAAAAAATTCAAAGGTTATGTTCTAGAACTTATTTAATAATAAGTTGCATGTGTACTACTTATTATTATATATGTTTTATGGAGCGGAGACCGCGTCTAGGCAAACGTAGTGTGGGACGCCTCCTGACCAGGTGGAGCGACGACCAGCGCAAGGTGGCTGGTAGAAACTGAATGCGTGTAGCCGAAGATCGGGCTAAGTGGCGCGCCTTGTGAGAGGCCTATTTCCAGCAGTGGACTGCCGCAAGCTGATGATGATGATGTGTGCTACCGATTATGTTATCTCGAATAAATCTGGTATTCACCAGGATCTAAGATCAAAGTAACTGCCCTACCAGGATGCATATCTTACGTTTACAGAAGCTGAGATCACGACCGGTCAGTGATTTTTCTATTTATTTTTTCTTAGTTCATTATTCCTATAAATATATATTCTATGAAAGCCTGCTGCTGACTGCAGGCATCCCCCATAGATTGCCACTTTTATTTATTTTGTCATAGTTGCCGCAAGATTAGTGTATATGCCTTGGTTTTCAAACTTGGCAGGTGAGTTGATTATCATTTTCCATTAATTTTATTAATATGGACACCAGTAATGTCATATATACATATTGTACATATTATCTAGAAACTATTACAGTGCGAAACATGAAATTTATGATGACAATATCAAAGTTTCACTACAAGTATAAGCTGTTTGTTTATTTATTTATTATATTTCTACCTAAATACTGCCCAAATAAATCACTACACTATCACACTATAATAATATCACAAAACAAAAAAAATTTAATTCCCCAGCATGTATTTTACAGTACTAAATTATAGTTTACTTGGTTATGTACATTATAAATTTACACCTACTTTGGTCTTTGCTCTAAAGCATATCACACCTACTTTAGTGAAAAGATGTCTCATGAATATCTTTTTAAGAAAATATTTAAAAGGCTATAGATATAATCAATTAATTTATATGATTATCTGATCTCATCTGTTTTCATTATATCATCATATCATAAATTAAAAAATTAACTACAAAACAAAAACAGTTAGTTAATATCCTTTCTTTTAGAAGTGGTTTATGAAAAGAACAAGTCTTATTATCATAAACAGTGGTGAATATTTTTTGATATAGTGCCTGTATAATGAAACAGTCATAGTAGACTTTTTACCTTTATTTTCCTTTTTCTAAGGCAAGTACCTGGTTGACCGAGCTTTGCTCCGTATTTTTCGCTCGATTTTTTTTAATTCGTGTGTTTTGGAAATTATATTTAGATAAAAATTACATACTGATGAAATATAAATAATATTTTTTGATCTTAGCGACATAACAGAAAAAACGGAACTGGTTATTTGAATAAAAAATCATGAGTGCAATTATTTTAATTTAAATTTTCGTGTTTTTAAAAAATACTAAAAAAAGGGCTCGAAAAAAATAGATTTTCTCAAAAAAGAAAGGAACATGAAAAAAAATTAAAAAAGTCGGTCGGTGGGTCTGGGCTCGAACCTTTAATTCTGTGACCGACATACAAATTAGCTATTTATATCACTAATAATCCGTCAAAATTTACCTTCTTATTCTAACGATATTGTAGCAGTTTTTCATTGCCTAAAAACACGGACAAAAAGACATTTTCTAAAAATAAATCCTAACTAGATCGATTTATTATCCCCGAAACTCCCTGGACACTAAATTTTATGAAAATCGTTGGAGCCGATTCCGAGATATCGATTATATATACATATATATATATATATATATATATATATATATTTTTTCAGAATGGGTCCCACATATATGCAATAAATGAAACCATATACTTGTTATCGCCTTTGCTGACGACATACAAAAAATGAACGTAGTCGGTCCAGTAATTTGGTCAAAAAGTAGAGTTTTAATTTTAAGCAAATTTCAACACTATAGAATTGGGTCACCAAGTCAATGATTCAATGAACTTGAATCCTTGAACATTAAAAAGCGACGTTGCCACGCAGTGCAAACTATTGGTATTGCGACATATCGACAGCGGTGTCTTTTGTCGGCGTGCCACCCGCGTGCAACGTTGTCACTCTTCCAAGGGGTCAAGGTACGTTGTCTAAACAGAGTGTTCACTTTTACTGAATTTATTTTAATATTTATTTAATATTTATTTTGTTTGAAAATTTCACTTTTTTATTTTACGGGTTTTAATTTAATATTTAATTTTTCTACACTTCTACGGACTAGTATTACTTGTGGTTTCATTTATTGCATATATGTGGGACCCATTCTGTATATATATATATATATATATATATATATATATATATATATATATATATATATACAGGAATTGCTCGTTTAATAGTATAGGATATAGACCAGCTACACTAAGGATCTTGCTTCTAAAATAATGGACAATGGGACAAAAATACTTATTTTTTTAAGTGTTTTTCGGATAGAGGGTAGTAATTGAAAGGACCCATATTTTTTTAGGCCAGTAGTTAATTAAATAAAAAATTTCGAAAAAATTTTTTTCGCCGGAAGTGACGTCATCTAGAGGCATTGTAAAATACGATGCCTGTGCCTGCGTTTTCCATGTTTCCGGAAAAAAGTAAGACTGACGTGACGGCTGACAGAAGTAACCTAAACTTAACCTAAAATATTTCCTGTGTTCGAAACCTAAACGCCCTTTATCAATTAAAAATGAAAACCAGTGATGGATTTGTACGTGCCGACAGCCGAAACCTTCCAAAAGTGGAACTTCCGAGGCTTTTGGAATATATACACAACAATGACGTTTACAATGCTAGTGAAATAAGAGTAGCCAAAACACCCATGTCGTCTCGAGATTCCTATGTTGATACAGCTATTGATTACGTGGAAGTTAAGAGAGAAGAAATCAAATGCGTTTTGAAAGCAAAAGTGACCACAGATCACCGGATTCGAACAAAAATGTACAGTATAAATGAAGACAGTGTAGTTATTGAAAACTTAATCTGTGATGTCTGTGCTGCATCTGCAGGCGGCTGCAAACAGGGAATTTGTTTTGCACACTGGATCATCAAAAGGACTGAAGAGCCATCAGTTACAACATCTGTCTCTTGCTACTGTAAGAAACCCAGAGTCAGTGAAGCTATTATACCTAGGAAACAAGAAGACTTTTGAAAAAATCCACTCCACTATAACTTTGCATAACATATTAGAAAAATGTAAGAAAAGAAAATCAACTTCCTCACTTCTTGTTAATTACTCTAAATACAAAAAAGAATCTCTTGATGATTACAATGTATTTCATATTATGTTAAATTATTATAAGATAGTTTTAAGATTTACAGTGCATATCTAGTCACAAATGAGTTAGTACATGAAATTGAACAGGCAACGAAAAACCAAGTGGATAGTGTTTTATGGCATTCTTTGAGACAGGGGAGAGTTACTGCCTCTAATATTTACAACACAATAAGATGCACAATTGCTAATGGTGTATTGGTCAAATCTATAATGGGTGGGTACAAAGTGCTAGAAACCCGAGCAATACAAAGAGGCAAACGTCTGGAGAACTTGCTAAAAAAGAGGTAGAGTTTGAACTTGATGTAGAGATAAAGGACTGTGGCTTCATGCCGGTATCTGGCATTATAGGGGCTTCACCAGATGGAATCACTGACAACTATGTTGTTGAAGTAAAATGGACTGATACAAAGCCCAGATAGTGCTGCAAATGTATGTAGCAAACAAAGAAAAGGGACTTTTTGTATTTCGGACCCAAAATTTGAACAAAATAAAAAAATAAACAAAGTTTGGGTACGTTATGACAAAGAATACACATTAAAATTAATTGAAGAAGCTGAAAAATTCTGGCAACAGTTTATTTTTAACAATATTGTAGAATGTGTTAAGTTGGTTAAATGTAAATATTTTGTTTTTATTGTATTGTAAAATATGTTAATTAATTACTTTTTCAAAAATGAAGTACATGGAATAAACATTTTTGATTTTGGTTATTATTATTATCCTACTAAAATTATTCATCTATTCTTCTATACTAATATTAATATTTTAAAGAGATAAATGTTTCTAACCTTGTTTGATGTATTTTTGTTTGTAGGGGGCAATCTTTGAAAGTACTGATCCGACCATGAAAATTATTGTAGCTACAGGAAGCTACATTATCTGTGGGTGATATGGGCTATAGTTTTACCAAAGTCCCTGGAAAGCATTTAGTCCTATATATATTTCATAGTAAAAGTGAATGTCTTGTTTTAAAGTAACTAGTGACAAAGTTCTTCAAAAAATCCCCTAGATTTTTGTGAAATAATAAAAAAGACAATTATTTTAAGAATAAGATTTTTTTATTAGCCGTAACAATAACAGGTACACATTCATTTATAAAGAAATAACTTAATAATCAATATCATTAACCTTAAGTTAAAATATGTTTTGTGCTGTTCTTTCAATTACACTCATTAAAGTGTTATAGGGACAAGACATATTTTAACTTAAGAGTTTATGAAAACAAAAAAAGTTAAAGTATCACAAGTAAAATAAAAAGTAATTATTGATTGTTAGCAAGTTGTCCCATTTTCAACACATCCCATGTGAGAAACTTGTCCTATTCGCAGCTCGTTCCGTTCGCAACTCGTCCTGTTCGCGGCTCGTTTCATTCACATATCCCATCAACATAGAACATAAAACAACCATTAAACCCTGAGACATGTCTAACTCGTTTAAAATATTATCGAAATAATTTCAGATTTTTAAGCATATAAATGTCACAAACAGATAGTAAAATTGTGTGAATTTAAACAACTGAACTGATTTCGATAACAAAGAGTTCAATAGGTCACAGGATTTTATGTTCTATGTTGATAGGAAGAGTTGCGAACGGGGCGATTTGTAACCAGGACGAGTTACGAATTGGACAATGTTCTCACGTAGGACGAGTTACAAATGGGACGACCTGCTAACGACCCTAAATTATGAACTAAAATCTAAATAATAAAGTTACATTTCAGTATTATAATTACAAAAGAACTAAAAATATTTAATTAAAATACTAAAAATAAGAATGAACTGTATTACAAGAAGTAAGCAAATTTAAAAGATATATGCATGACATCTAGCAAGTATTTTGGCTAAGTGGAGACTCGCTACGTTGTATCTCGTCGCAACATCAAATAACAGAAATCAAAATCAACAAAATGTAAAGTTAAAATCAAATTATTTATTTTTAAGTAGGAGTTTTACAAGATTGTCTTTTAGAAAGTCAAAACTAATTAATAAAATGGTATAGTTAACTTACAAAAATGTAAACAAATACATGACAAAAATTAAAAAGACTACCAATTATTTCTTTCATTGAGTTGGAGTAACAGTACTTACCAATCAGCAGTCTTTATCGTTAATATAATCATTTGTCTTGTAATATAATAACAATGTAAATCAATACTTAAAAATTCTTTATTATGGGTGATTGCAAGTTTATCAGCCCACAAGCCACAACAACTGCATCACCCACACAGTTGACCAATTTAGTATCTATATTTAAATGAGGCTTCAAAACTTGTACAATCTCACTCTTCCTATATGTATTCTTTCTATATGTATCAGTTTGGATTCTGGTTGCGCGGAAAACCATTCGTATTTATTTATATTTGACGGTAGGCTTGCCAAATCGTTTATGCCTTTCCAAACGATATCATTCATACCCTCCTATCGACACATCGGGGTGGGAGGGGAAAGAAGATGATTCTAGAATATCACGTAATCATCGCAACCGAAGGAATAAAAGGCACGCGCGGCCGACGCGCAGCCTCTTCCCGCCGCGCTCGTCGTTGGAACCACACCGCTTAAGACAATAGTATCATAGAAGGGCTATTGCCCACGCGCACCGCTAGTAGAACCGCTTTAGCCTGGACGCAGTCGAGCTCCAGGAAACCCGCCTCATCTCGTGTAAGAAATAGTTCCAGAGAGTCTACTGAGAGTGTCTTCCAGAAGTCGCAGCAATATAGTGCCCAAGCCGCATAGAAGCAACACCCCGGTGAGTGATCATTCCTAATAGTTCCTGCTTGATATAATTGTGTTTAATAGTTAATCCGCTCCAATTTTATTTTCTCCTAATCAAGCAGGATTCCTTTCATATATTTGGCAAAATAATAGTTCGTTTTAGGGAAGAGCGAGTGCATTGTATGGGAAACCGCGTGCTATAGTCGCCATTTTATGTAAACGTAGAAGCATTTCGCATATACAGTCCACTTTGGTTAATATCTCGCGTAATAGGTTTAAGGCTCGACCGGGGAATTGGACTTCGGTAGCCTTAGGCTCGTCGCTCCACCATTTTATGATCACTTCGGCAGGATTTGGACTGGTGTTTAGTAGTCGTTCAACCATTTTCTGGTCGAATTATTAGATTAATTACTTAGATAATGCACTCTAATTTATGGAATATACGTAGCGTTCGTTTAAAATTAAATTTTGGTTAGTTACTCGCAAATAATGTTTTTTTAATAGTGTTTGTATTTGGTTTAAATTTAAAGTTTATTAGTTGCTTAAATAATTGAAACAGTGTGATCACACGCGTTTTGTACGCTTACCCGACAATTTTGATAAAAGTATATTGAGTTTAGCGAGCGACGCGCGTCACCTCGGCTCGCTGTAACAGGTGTTCAATTTAATGACTCAATTGTGTTCAATTTAATGTAATACGGCACGAGTGTCTATCCTCCAGCGTTGTGAGATTAATTGTGATTAATATAATTTTATTATAATAATTTAAAATGGCAGTTAGTGGAAATGAAATTAAAATTAAAACGCTTTATGCCAAGAGGGACATACTTTTTTCACGTATACAAAGTATTAGTGATCACATAGAGAACATTAATGTAGAAGCAGTGCGGGAAACTTTTTTGAATGAAATTGAAGCGGTGGATTCTTTGCGGACGAATTACGATAGAATATTAGACCAAATTAATCATTTGGAATTACAAATCGACCCGAAATATATAGTGAACTACCAACCGCTTCTGGCATTTGAAGATATGTTGTGTCGCGTGAAAAGAACGGCGAAACTCTTACAGTCTCCATCTCAAAACGAAGCAAAGCCGGAAATACAGGTACGTCCACGTGACTCAATTAGGTTGCCGCCAATAGTTATTCCGATATTCAATGGTGATATTAAGACATGGCCCTTCTTCTTCAGTAGTTTTCAAAACAATATACACAATAACCCATCGTTATCGGAAGCTGAAAAATTATATTATTTAATTAGTAAACTTAGTGGCAGGGCACAGTCAATTTGCTCGGGTTTTACACCTACAGCAAACAATTACTTGTTAATATTTGAAACTCTTAAAACTAAATATGAAGATAGGAGAATGTTAGCTTCCGAATATTTGAACCAGATATTCGATCTTAAACCTATATCATCCGCGAACGGCTTAGAGCAGTTTTTAGATAAATTTGTGGCATCGGTGGCTGCACTTAAGAATTTGAAATTTAATGACCTTATGGACGTGGTGTTTCTCCATATTGCACTAAAGAAATTAGACCCCGACACCGTGCGTGCGTTTGAAATGGAGCATCGTAGCTCGGAGATGCCTTCCTTTCATTCATTAGCATCGTTTGTGCGAGATCAAATAAAGGTGATGCAGCGCTCACCGAACGTTAAACAAGAGATTAAAAAATGCGTCGACCGTAGACAGACTCAACCATCTAAAATGCAGGTTCGTTAACGTACGTAACCGCTACGTCGGCACCACTTCAGCATGCCTGTATCATATGTAAAGATAAACGCGGTAATTTATACAATTGTGCGACCTTTCGTAAATATTCACCAAGCGAACGTTATACATTGTAAAGACAAACAACCTATTTCTGAACTGCTTAAGCGATAAGCATTTAGTTGCAAAATGCAATTCTAGTTCCGTATGTAGCAAGTGCGCCAGGAAACATCAAACGTTATTACATTTTGAAAATAGCAACATGTCGGCGTCAAGTAAAGCGGACAAGGAATTCACCCCTACTAAAGTTAACGATTCTAGCGGTCGACCTGGTGATGTCGCTCTGTGCTCATTGGCAAATATGGGAGCACAATCTCCTTCAACCGTGTTACTGGGTACGGCACGTATTTTGATTAGGGATTCGCGTGGAAACGAACAAAGCGTCCGTGC